GGATGTGCCCAAGCCCAAAGGGGCTGGAATTGTTACTTCTGCCCTTACCACTCAGATTTCTGTGCCTGCTACTGCACAGTTTGCCCTTGCTGCCTCAACTCCTCCTAGAATCACCCGAGCTCTCTCGAAGAAACATATACACCCTTGTTTCTTCTCCTTTTGCCTTCTTTATAATGCTCTCAGCCTTATCTTTAGTTCTTCTTTTGCGAAGGTGGTGCGGATGCCTCACAGGGAGAGTCTCCTCAGAAGACTCAGGCTCTAAATCTCCTCAAAAGCAAACAACAGCAAAAGCAAATGAAGCTTTTACTTGAGCTTGAAAATGAGGTACCTGAGGTTCAAGCAGAAGAAGAAGATGAAGAAGAAGAAGAAAATCAAGAGTAAGAATCACCCTTGAAAAGAAGGAAAAGAGTGACTGTCCTTTCTTCTAACTTGATTCAAGATAAGACAACAATACAGAGAAAAAAGAAAAGAAAAATCACTATCTCTCTTTCTGATTTTGCCGAAGATCCTATATATGAGGTAGCTGCCAAAGTAGTGGAGCAAGAACATTGTAAGGCCATAATCGTTTCCGAGAGAGCTGAGAAAAGACGGCAGCAACAATTTCTGAGAGATGAAGCTGCTGCTGCTGATGCATTACAAAAGGAAACTGCAAGAAGGCAACAAATTACCGAACATTACTCCCTTCGTAGCTCTCCTATTATTGCCAACACTTCTGAAATAAGTAATTTCTTTTATGCTTTTGTTTTTTTCCTTGTCAAATTTTGGTATTGAAACTTGACATTACTTTACATTTCTTCTTCCTTTCGCAGCAACCACTACTGATTCTGTCGTTCCGATGGGGACTCCCTCAGTTTCAGTTGAGGTTGATCATCTGCAGAACGTGAGGACTATTCAAATCATCCTTCCACTTCCCAAGCCTGCATTTGATGTACCCTTCTTGAGACCAATCATTCCTAAATTTCTTTCTTTTGGGTTAGCTCCATATCTTCCCCATCTGACCTTTGACCCTCCTCAATTCGGTTCTCTTTCAAACCTCGCTCTTCTCCCTTCTCCCAAGGAAATTCCAACTGCTACTCCATCTCTGATGGCAGTTGATTCTCCCATAAAGGGTACTGGCAGCTCTCCAACTCATGGTTTATTACCTCTGCCTACTTCCAGCCCTTCTTCTCTTGACCTATTGGTGGCTAGGACCATAGAGACTGTTGAAGATGTTCTACCTATTTCTCATATCCCCATGCAATCCTCTGTGCCTTCAACCACTACCCTCTCTGCACCCCTCATGTCCATGGTTGAGGTAGATATCTTTGAGGCGAGACTAGCCAGTTTCTTTGACACGCCCTCTACCTCTCCAATAATCAATGATGAAGCTGAGCCATTAGTTTTGGCTGACTCTTTACTAGAAATTTTTCAGAGTCCTTCTTCCAGTAGTAAGCCTTCTACACTTCCGATAGATTTGGACAATTACCTAGAACTATTGACATCTTTCTCAAGGATTCCTTTCGAGGCCCTAGAGAGACCTATAATAAGGAATGGCTTCCTTCAGTGCTGCAAAATTGTTGACCAATCCGGTATGTCTGTCTCAAGTCATCTATCTCAAGCAACAGCTACTATTGACTTCTATATCAATATTTACTGTGCTGCCAAGGCTGCAGAGGAGAAATTGGTCAGAGATCAGGACTTTGTTTCAACAGTACATGCTGAGGTATCAAAGCTGAAGGGACAACATTCCTCTGTCTCCCAATTTCGCACTCAACTACTGGAGAGGAAGGCTCAACTTGAGGAGGAGTTATCTATAGTCAACCAGGCTTTAGCCCGAACTGATACCAAGTTGCTGATCACCAACCAAGGACTGGCCGATCGAAAGCAAGAAATGACTACAGCCATTCAGTTGTTTTCATCTTTTAAAACTAGAACATCTGTTGTAAAAGAACAACTGAGGCATTGTAATGATTTTTGGGCCAATTTATGGCAGAATGTATTCAACTCTTTATGAAAAATAAATTCTTATTTATCATTTGAGTATTTTTGTGTTCTTGTACCTGGCATTTATTTATCTCCTTGTGTTTCCCATATAGTTCGAAAATAAGGCTTCAAATACTTGCCATTAATCTTTTTGGGATGTACATATTCATTCAAATTTCTCAAATGGTATGCTCCAAAAGGAAGGACTCTATGGATTTGGTATGGCCCCTCCCAGTTAGGTGACTATTTGCCAAACTTATGGCTTTTGATCCCTATTGGGAGTATGGTTTTCCACACCAAATCACCTTCATCGAAGCCAATGTGCTTGACTTTCTTATTATAAATTTTGGCTGCTTTCTTCTTTTGAAAGAGAATGCTATTTAATGCCAGAATTCTGGCTTCATCTATTCCTTCTAATTCCAAGCACATACTCTGATGGTATTGCTCAGGATCTAGCTGGTCTTGGCATCTTACCCTCAAAGACTTAACATTAATTTCCACAGGCAATATAGCATCATGCCCATACACCAAGGCATAAGGAGTAACTCATGTGCTTGACCTTGGGGAAGTTCTATAAGCCCACAATACATCCAATAATAAGTTATGCCAATTCCTAAGATTGTCTTCCACAACCTTTTGTATTCCTTTCTTCAAGGATTTATTGGATGATTCAGCCTGGCCGTTGGCTTGTGCATAATAGGGGGTGGAATTAACAAAGCTAATTCCAAACTCAACCACAAAAGACCTCGCCATTTTTCCATCAAGCACAGTCCCATTATCAACAGTTATAGCTTGTGGGATGCCAAACCTATAGATTAAATCCTTGTATTGCTTAACTTCGACCCACTTGGTGAAGTAATCAATGGCCACTAAAATGAAACAATGATGCTTCGAAGAGGGTGGGTGTATTTTCCCCATTATATCCATGGCCCATCCTCTGAATGGCCAAGGCGTTACTACTACATACAGGTTAGTTATGGGCACATGCCTTATTGTGCCATGCTTTTGACATGCCTGGCAACCCTTTGCATATTCTATGCAGTCTTTAAGGATAGTTGGCCAATAGTAGGAATGCCTTCGAAGCAGCCATTTCATTTTTACACTAGGCTGATGAGCACCACAGATGCCTTCATGAACCTCAACCATAGCTGTTAATGCTTCTTTTGGGCCTAAACATTCCAACAATAGACCATCTCCCTCCCCTTTTGTAGAGATCATTGTTATATATGATGTATTGCATAGATTGCAATTTAATTAAGTGGAAGGAGGCTATGGATAAAGAGATCGGGTCACTCCATAAGAACCAGACTTGGGAATTGGTGCAACTTCCAAAGGGTAAGAAAGTAGTTGGGTGTAAGTGGGTTTACACCAAGAAAGAAGGCATCCCAAGCAGAGACAACATCAGATTCAAAGTTAGATTGGTAGCTAAAAGCTATGCCCAGAAGGAAGGAATAGACTACAATGAGGTATTCTCACCTGTTGTGAAGCACACGTCTATTCGCATCTTGTTAGCTTTGGTTGCACAGTTTGATCTCAAGCTCGCCCAACTCAATGTCAAAACTGCCTTTTTACATGGAGATCTTGAAGAGGAGATATACATGTCCCAGCCAGATGGTTTCAAAGTTGCTGGAAAAGAAAATTGGGCCTGTAAGCTAAACAAATCGTTGTACGGATGAAGCAATCCCTGAGACAGTGGTACAAAAGATTTGATCGATTCATGATAGAGAAAGAACACACAAGAAGTCAATTTGATCATTATGCATATTTCCGTAAGCTTCCAATGGTTCCTTCATCTATTTGCTCTTATATGTGGATGATATATTAATTGCATCTAAGCGCAAGGTGGAGATTGACAAACTCAGGGCACAGTTGGCAAGAGAGTTTGAAATGAAGGATTTGGGAGAAGCAAAGAAAATTCTTGGCATGGAGATCAAGAGAGACAGGAAGAAGGGTACGGTTTGTCTGACACAAACCTAGCATCTAAAATAGGTATTAGACAGATTTGGCATAAATGGGAAAACAAAAGCTGTGAGTACACCATTGGCCCCTTATTTCAGGCTTAGTGCTTCGATGTCTCCGCGCACAGAAGAAGAACGAAAGCATATGACACAGGTTCCATATGTAAATGCAGTTGGTGCATTAATGTATGCTATGGTTTGTACAAGGCCTGACATCTCGCATGCTGTGAGTATGGTAAGCAGGTATATGCATGATCCAGAAAAAGATCACTGGCAAGCAGTGAAATGGATCCAAAGGTACATACATGGCACGGTTAATCTGGGATTGAAGTTTGAGAGAGATAACCGACTCGGACAGAATTTAGTTGGATATGTGGACTCAGATTGTGTTGGTGACTTGGAGAAACGCCGATCAACAACAGGGTATTTATTTACGCTTGCTAAAGGGCCGGTGAGTTGGAGGTCAACGCTTCAGTCAATAGTGGCTTTGTCTACTACAGAGGCAGAGTACATGGCAGTGACGGAAGCGTTTAAGGAAGCTATTTGGCTACATGGGTTGATTGAGGGCTTGGGTATTGTTTAGAAGCACGTTGAGGTGTACTGTGACAGTCAGAGTGCCATTTGTTTGGCAAAGAACCAGGTTCACCATTCCCGCACCAAGCACGTTGATGTCCGTTTCCATTTCATCCGAGAAATTGTGAATGAAGGGGATATTCTGCTTCAAAAGATTAGTACTACAGATAATCCGACCAATATGCTCACAAAAGTGGTTTCTGGGATCAAGTTCCAACATTGTTTGGACTTGGTCAACATTTCTCGGAACTGAGCACCTTTGGGTGCAAGGCAGTGTTGATCGATCACTATGTTGGATAAGAGAATTCTCGCCAAGGTGGAGATTTGTTGAAGATTGGCTAAAGATTCAGCTTGCCAACTAGCCATGCAAGGCTGGCCATGTGATCTTGCCAAGTAGCAACATGCTTGCCAACTTACTAAGTCACAAAGATGATTCTCCATGTGCTACAGCATGTTTCCAACCAACATGGACGGCCACCGAAAGAAGAAGAAGTGAGCTGGCCATGTGCAAAGCCAGCCTCTCCACCTCCATCTGTAATGTGTATAAATGGAGAGGGTGAGAGCAGAGAAAAATACAGTGTGTGAGTGAACAATTATCAGGAAGTGTATTGTTTGTAATTCTTCCATTTCTCTCCATATAGTGAAATCCGCTGCCCATGGACGTAGGCGACTTGCCGAACCACGTTAAAACTCTTGTGTTATTGCTTGTTTGTGTTTCCTAGTGTGCCCTCGATCCACAACACTAATTGGGTTCTAAAGGAACATAGAAAGTTGTAAATCGGATAATAGAGGAGAGGGAGAAGAGACAGGGTTCGAAAGGGAGACTAGTTCAGCGGCGCAAGATTTCGATTTGGAACGGTGTGCTCCCTTCGGCGGTGAGACTGGTTCAGCGATGACAACGATCGACGGTTCAGAGGGGAAAGGTTTCGTTCTTGAGGTATGTTTGGATTCCCCCTTCCCCCCTTTTTTTCTCTCTCTCTCTCTCTCTCTCTCTTTCCATTTTATTCGGTTAGTTTCTCTGCTTACATAGCGAGAATAGTTACAAGAGGAAGTGAAGAATTTATAGGTCGAATCCGATATCAATCCATGAGACCAAAAAAACTCAGCCCTTAAGGAATTTTTTTTTTAATCATAAATTAGTAGAAAATCTGTGATTAAAAATTTTGTTTTTCTTTTTTTTTTTTAAAATGTGTACAGTTCTCTAACTTGTTCTGTTTATGGAGCATTTCTGTCTTTTATATCCAATATTTTTTTTTTCCTTACAAATACATTTTGCTTGTAGAATATGGTATGGGAAGTGAGGTCTCGGCATACAGTGATATCTACAGTTTTGGTATCCTCGTGTTAGAAATGTTTACTGGGAAGAGACCCATCGATGAAATGTTTAAAGATGGTTTAAGCCTCCACATCTTTGTGAAAGAGGCTTTGCCTGGCAGTGTATCAGAGATTTTAGACCCAATACTTTTTCAGACCGAAGGAGAAGAAGAAGAAAGCTTCATAAGGAGTGAAAAGATTGTGGAGTGCTTGAGTTTGATACTTGAAATTGGTGTCAATTGTTCTTAAGATTTGCGTAGAGAAGGAATGGAGGTTAACGATGTTGCAGCTAAATTGCATTTCATCAAAGACGCTCTTTTAGGATCTGAAATTAGCTTTGTGCATTGTCAATGGAAGCAATCCTGTCGTTTTGGTTGTGCAATGTGATTATATTATATGTTAGTACATGGTCCACTGTTTAAATTTTAGTATTATTATCAATTTTTTCCACTTTCACCTTTCTGATTATTATCTCATGTGCACCAACCACAAAACACACAAATGGTGGCTGCTAGTTTTTTTTTCTTTGGGGCCACTGGAATGATGTATGAAGTGGGAAATGGATTGAAAACTTTCTGAGATATAGGGATGTTGTCTCTACTTTTATAATGGTGCTGTTTGCTGTTAATTTAAATGAGCCATTTATGATGATCTCTATTTTGGGATTTTGTACAGTTTATGTGATAATTATAAGTTTTAAAATTTTATTTTTTTAAATAAGTTATTAACTTTTAACCTAAAATAAAATATAGCAAACATGCTTTCAAAATGATGAGTGAGATCGGAGGATAGCATAGTGATATTTTAGTTTTGGGGGGGCATCCTTGTCCGTCCTCCACAATGAGGGGACAAAAATTAAGTCTATGGTATGATTAACTACTAAATAATTCTTCATTCAATAAATTGACTGAAAAACAATGATCACCATATCTTTCCTTGTAGGTTTCATAGAGCCAAAACCTGTTGGAGCCTCTGAATCGTATGCTATTATTGGGATATATACACACATTCTGTTGCTTAAATCAATATAGATAAGTTGGTTAATCTTTGGAGATTGAAGATGACTAGTATAGAGAAAAAGCATGCTAATATGTTTAAAGAACTTGTTCTGGGTGGTGATAAAATTGAGCATATGGTGTTTGCTTAAATGCCACAGAAACAAAGATTTGCATTATATAGTCAGCAACCATTTTCCTAACCTTGAATTTTTTGTGCATGACACTTCTTAATGGATCTTCAGAAAGAAAACAATTTGCATATTTAGTTTAGGCCTAACCTTGTGAGTGTTTATGAGACTATCAGAATTTGTAGCATTTGCCATATAAAATACCAAGTAAAATTGCAGAATGCAAATACTTCAAGTTTGGAATTTGAATTAAAAGGACCAAATATCCATCATCTACATATTAAAAAAATTATCTGCAAGGTAATACTAAAATGGTTCAATTTCCTGCACATAACATAAATATAGATAAAAAAATACAGCAAAGGTGTAAAATACAATTGAACTGTTGCTTCCAATGATCATAACTAGAAACATGTTCAATTTCCATCTGCTGCCACCATACTAGTACAATAAACTCTTCTCCCCTGCTACTAGTGACTAGATTAGAAACCAACTAAGACTTAACTACATTATGATTAGTCCTCATATTACATCTGGAAAACTATGTAAGTTGATGTGATAGTTATATGTACACATATACTCTCATTAGTTGGTTATACTCTCATTAGTTGTGATAGTTATATCAAATCTAGTATTTTTTAATATAACAAAGTCACATGCATCTAAACACTAACATAATGTTTTAATTTGAAATTCTAATAATTAAAAAAATGTAGCAATATATAAATCCTTGCTGGTAGTGTTAAATCCTTGCTTGCAATTTTTAAAATATGCTGTGGTATTCAACCTGCCCTATTGGTAATATTATTGTAGAACTTGATACCGTCCAATTGCTAGGTACTCATTAGTTGGTTTTGGGTTTTCTATTGTTTGTTGCCAGTCTCCATTGGGTGATTCTGAGTTTAGTGTGTGATGTCTTCCTTGATATGTTTAAATAGCATGTGTCCGAATACGTGTCAGCTAATGCATCTGGGAAGTAGCCTTGTTATGTCTGCTTTTGGAGTGTGTGAATGGAGCGGAATAAGAGAATATTGGGTGTTTGTTCCTCTGTTTTGTTTTGTTTTGTTTTTTTTTGTTGAGTGAATAAGTCATAAAATAAAACAAAAGAAAGATACAAAATACAAGGGGCATGCCCCAGGGCTTACAACTATACAGAGCAAGAAATGAGCAAACAGACCTAAAAACAAATAAAAGGCTAACAGGTAGCCATAACCAACCAAAACAACCAACACCATACACCTATTCAACCTCCATATACATAACAAAATAAGGAACCTGAACAAGCATAGATTAAACTATCTCGGGACTACATGATAGCAAAAAACTCCCAGACCACACTAACAACTGCTACATAGCAGCACAGAGCACAGCCGCAAAGCCTATAGTGCAACAGAGCAGTACAGTGGGCAGCATAGCAGATCAGCAAACAGAGTATAGCAGTGCAAAATTTGCACAGCAGAGTAGAAGAGCAGCAGCCTAGCAGCAAACTCATAGCAGCAGCACACAGCAGAAGATAAAACAATATATCCCAGATTCAGCCCATAAGGAAAACAGTCTTGTACTGAATACAACATTCAAAATAGATAACCAAAAAGCCAACTATGTGCAATATCAGAATTAAAAAGAACACCAACAATCCTATCTGAGAACTACTTCAAAAACTGGCGCATCTTTGCAGCTTGGCCCTCTGAGAATCCTCCAAAGTCTAACCAATATAGAACAACCTCCATCAAACCTTTAATGAGCACCCCTGCACTGCCTGTGAGCAGCAACATAGAGGAAAAACACAACCTATAGGAAGCTATGCTTAGACCTGTAGCAGAACTTACTAAACGAACCTCACAAACTCAAACCACACAAAGACACTCAAGCTCAATAAGCTGAGCAGAGAAGGGATAAGAGAAAACACTTCAAAAATGTAGATCCCACAACAAACATCTCCCTTACACAAGGTACCAGCTCATAGACCTGCAGATAAAACAGTTAAGTGTAACAAATCATAGCAAATGTGATGTCAGACCTGTCAACAAGGCTCACACTATATATGGTCTCACAAGCTCAACCCTCATACTCTCCCAGCTCAGAATTGAAGGACAGGTGAATGAGAGAAACAAAAAAGAAAAGATAGCAGTAAGCCAAATACAACCAACTCTGAAAATATAGTACTCCCATCACTCAACCCACGACAAAAATTTCCTATGCAATGTGTACAACAAGAACAGTCAATCAGCTTCTCCAATCAGTCACTAAGACCTCACCAAAACCTTCTATAACAAAGTTCCAGCCCAAACAAACCTGCATAGAAGAGGTTAGAAAAGTTTAGGAACTTTCTTCACTCAACCCTCAATCCCACATATCTCGACTGCCTAATTTTGGACTCACAGTCACTCAACCCTCTATTCCTAACATAAGGCCAGCTTGGCGACCTACAGTGTTCCTCTGTTTTGTTTTGTCCAGCTAGTGTTGGCTCCTCACCAACATTGTGCTTTTTTCATTTTCTTCTTTTCTCTCTTTCTTCTTTCCTCTTTATTGATGTAATCTCATATGAAATGTACGTTTCTTCATCAATAAATATTCTGTTTTACTGATTAAAAAATCTGGGTTTGCTTTGTGGGTTTAAAAGTTAGAGAGAAAAGTGGGTTTGCTTTGCTTTATATTGCTTTATATCAGCCTAAATTCTAGACTTTATCAAATTTTCGGCAAAGTTGAAATTGAGTTCTAGGATGGCACCAATGACTGAGTTTCTTTCTATTCAGAACCATATTTCAGGGTACCTATGAAGTTTGGGTTGTTTTCATTTATGGATCTGGGATAGCTGGTGGGTGATGCTGCTGATGCTGTCAAGTGCTGCTGTTGTTAATGCCTCAGGGATTGTGTTGTTACAGATTAGATTTGCATCAGGGGGAGTTTGAGCAGACAAGGGAGTTTGAGCAGCCTTTGGGAGTTTGAGAACTGTTTATTGGTGCATTGCAGAGTGTGTGTTGTTGGTTGATTGATTTTGCCTCTTCTAATTTAATTTGACTTTGGTTGCACTGATGCAAAGGGTGGCTGCTGGTTTTGCTCATGATTGGATGGTTTTATGTTTTTGGGTCTGAGTTGGTTTTGGTGCTTTGTTGTTTGTTTTGTTGTAATTCATTTTGGTGTTTGTTTTGTTCTGTTCTAGTTTGCTTTGTTTTCGGTTGGTTTCTTACCGCTTTTGATGGTGTGCTAATAAATGATTAGGTGTGCATCTCAGTATACTGCTCGATTTATTGCTGAGACTGTGAAGACCTTTCTTTATTCACTCAACAACGGGAAGATACCAAAGAAGATATTCAACTCTAAGTTTAAACCTACTAAATAATCGGCAAATGTCTTAAAATTTAAAACTAGAAATTTTACTATTCAAATTACTAATGTAATGGTACATGCTAATCTCTTTAGAGATTTTACAGCTATTATACAAAATTGGACTAAATTTGCCAATTTTACAAGAGTGCAAATTGGGTTGGGTAGAGTTGGGCCGAATTCAAGTCGAGCTCAACCTAAAATATACATGTCTGCCAAGATCAAACTGGCATGATTTTAATTCACTATGCTTTCCCTGAGATCTAAATTATTAAGTATATGGCCTTTTCTATTAATGTCAACTAAATTAGGTCATAATCAGAGTTCAAATGCAATTCTTTAGTTAAGTCACTTTCAATTTCATTATATGTTATTGTTATTTTACTTTTTCTTTTTTTTTTCCCCCTTTTCATTTTGGTATATTTATTGGATTTGGTTTTCTGTCCCTCTTCCTGGTCTGTGTGGATTCTTTTCTTTTAGGTATATACCCCATCCTATGAGGCAACCATTTATAGGTGCCAATATTGTGCTGAACTCATACCATTATCAGTTAGATGAAAATACCTAACCATAAATATGAACATGTAGATTTGGCTTATATTTGAGCATAAGGTTTTATTAACAGCTTGATACTTTTATTTCCTTAGCTGCATTTTTTGTTGTAGTTGTGATAAACAGGACATTTCGACACATTTAATTCTGCCAACATTCCTATATAGAAATGTGTTTAGAATGTCAAGGATGAAAAGCGAATATAATTACCCTTCAGGCAATAATAGTTTAGAAAAGTACATCCAACATGGTAAACATATAGCAAAATAGTGAAGGACCCTACACAATAAATTACTTCAAGGGCTTCTGTTTATTTCTACATCCAACATGTGAAGGGTGATTTTGATTCTTTGAACTAGAAATTTATTTATATTTTCCTTTGAATTATCTATTTTTTGTTATCCTGGTTTCTTAAGCTTAATATCTGAAGTCAGCAAAAACAGCCTTGCAAAATAAAACAAAGAGAAAGCTAAGACCAGCCCAATCAAAAAAGGTTTTATTTTGATTTAGCTAAATGCTTAGAAATCTATGGTATCAACAGATTAATGGTTTGTAATTTGGTGATAGTTAGGAGTGTTGCTGGCTGTTTATTAATGTTTTAGATACATGCTGATGTTTCATGTACTCTTCCCCCTCTTCTTCTTCCTTTTGAAGTTTTGGTGTGGAAGTCACTCTGTTGAAGTTGTGTACTATATTTTGGTCATAATTGCGTCAACCAATTAAGTCAATTACTAAAATCATCTGGATTTGTGATCAATTTACTCCCTCCGTCCCAAAATAATAGTCCCTTTTGGGGAATCCAACTTTTTTTGGTAGTATAATTATTGCATTTGAAAAAAGTTGATTTTTCAAAATTACCCTTTTAATAGTACATTTTTTGAGAATATCAATGTCATAATTGTACTTTTTATATTGTTTATTAATTTAAAAGAAGGGCAAAATAGGAAATTTACATTATTTTTGTACTTGATTTTTGAAGAGGGACTAATATTTTGGGACAATGAAAAATGGAATAAAGGACTAATATTTTGAGACGGAGGGAATACTATTTTTCTCTTCTCATTAGCCTGCTACAGTTTTCAAGGGTGCTTATGAGAGTTTGGGCCTTGATGCTTCTAGTAGGAAATCAGTTAGAATGCAGAAGATATGGTATCTAATTCAGGTACACTGCTTGCTTTATGTTTTACTTATAGTTTGCTAATTGCTATTCTGGAAACTTATAATTGCATTAGCCATGGTTCTCTTTGTAATGCTTGTAACGCAATTGTTTGTGCGGAATTGAATTATATGCTAAACACTGATGGGTGAGGGCTCAACTATTCCAAGGGATGTTTCGAAGAAAATGTCTTTAGTAATTGGTGCAAGGCGCCACCTCGATTGAGGCATGAGAAATATATCATTGGTACAATACAAAGTCATCCTGCACAGGTAATAAATTATTTTTAATGTTTGCTTCTCATCCTAGCATCTAATAATTCATTGGTGTACTTTCAGCTTTGAAACTTGTACTCTTGTGCTCCTAATGTATAATTCTGGTGCTTCAAATTATCTGTTTGGATAATATATAAGGTAAAAAAAAGTTGAAGTGTTTGAGAATGGCTTCTTGGATTTTTACGAAAAAATGAGAAAAAAAAAAAGTAGAGATAATGGGAAGGTATTTTTGACTTTTTTAAAATTTCTTGATCATTTCTTAATACCTTAAGAAATATTTTTGTCCTGAGTCGTCAGTTTTTGTACTTGTGTGAAGTTTCCTTTGTCATACAGACAAGAAATGCAACAGGGTTAGTTGCTCCAGCTATTGCTGCTGGTTTAGGTGCCTTAACACATACATTGGGTACCCTCGTCCTTGTGATAGAAGCAAGTGGATTTTCTACAGCTGCAACTGCTATAGGAACTGTTGTCGATAGTTTTAGATAATCTCTTAATAGTTGCCGATATGTTTAGAAAGTTACATATGCATAGTTTTGGATGGTTTAAACTTTTTGTACAGTTTAGAACTTAAGGATATAATTTTCGAGTGTTTGGAATGTATAGACAATTGTTGAATGTTTAGAATTTATGGATATAGTTTCTTTTTGATGTTTCAAATAATATTTTGGTGGTTGATTGATGTTTTGTGGTGCTTATTTGTAATATTTGTTAGATTGTACAAAATTAGTCAAATAGAATTTGTTGAATTTTTTAAATAAAAAAAAAAACTTCATATTCTACGCAGGCATAATAAGTCGTTGTATTATATATTTTACAGCGCACAATTAGCGTCGTTATTTGTCTTACCAATTAACGGCGTGCAAAAGTAGTCGTAGAAAAAATAACGACGACGTGCAAAATCTGTAGTTAAATAGTTTTTAACGGCGTACTATAGCATGTCATAGAAAAGTAACAATGACGCACAAAATTTGCTGCTAAATAGTTTTTAACGGCGTACGAACCATGTCGTTGAAAGTAAATGACTTTCCATGATTGGTCATAATATAACATGCACTGCACGTTGTAGAAGGGTTTTTACGACGTGCATTGCACGCCGTAAAATTTGTTTTTTGTTGTAGTGATTAATTGTGCAATTGTTTTCTTACAAGACAAAATAAAATGAATGTGCATTTTCTCATTGTTTATGTGCATGTGAATGTGTGGTATACAAATAAATATAGTAGTTGTTACATTGATTCAATATATTGTGAATGTTCCAAGTAGTTCGCAATGGAAAGTAGAATTGTAAACATCATTTCAGGAATGTTCACGTTGGCAAACTAGTATCACATATATACTATATAATAAAAAAATACGGTTTCTAATAAGAAAGGATGTGAGAATTCCAATATGTCATGTTAAATTTCTTGATTTTCTTAATTTTAAATAATTAAAACAATCTCCATTGTTAGCTTTCATTTAACTATATAAACAATAAAATTCTAATTACTCTATGATTTATGGCTTTTGAAAGGAAAATATACTAATTCTTTTCAAGGTAAATTACACTTTATGTTTGGTTGTTTTTCCCACTTTGGCCCTTGAAGTTTGTTTTTTCTCACTTTAACCTTTCATATTTCAAGTTTTTTTCATTTTATTCCTAAAGCTATTTTCTATTTAAATTAAACAAAAAATGACTCATTGACAGTCACGTGGCATAAAAAAAATTTAATTATATATAACTCACATATCTAACATAAATTTAAATTCCAATATAATAATATAATTTTTATATTATGTGACAGTTGTTCTAACATTTTCTGTTTAATTTTGAATAGAAGTTAACTTTAAAAGTAAACTGAAAAAAATTCAAAACATAAAGAACCAGAGTGGAAAAAATAAACAAACTGTAAAGAGTCAAAGTGAGAAAGTGATAAAATATAAATGGAATGAAGTGTAGTTTACCCTTCTTTTCAAAATGCATACTTATGTTGCTATTAAATATATGAAGTAATTTACCATATGTGGACTAAAGGGTTTGAAAAGAAAGCCTCACAGTTCGGATTCTCGCGGTTCTGAATCTAATCTCACAAAGTACAATGTGAAATTGATAATCGCCAAAGAGTCCAAATACGGCAAATTTTTTTGGAAAATCGATTTTAAATCAAATAATGTCAAAATTGGACTACTTTGCCAGATACAGAGTCGTCACCTAAATTTTTTATTTTTTTGGAAAAATTTAAGAAATCTTGACTCGTGCCAAAGGCTACGTGTCCGTCATCACCAAAGTTGCCTCGGCTCGGGAACTTAGGTACGAGAGGGAAAGGTCTTGAAATGAGCACCCTCGCTGGCCCGATCAAAGATCGGCCTCTACTAACCATGATATGATATTTTATAAACATTATGTGCTCTTATTCCGGTTATTAAACTAGCTTTACTATGTGACGCACAGAAGTAAGTATAGATTAGTCGCAAGACTTGGAACAATTCAACTCATGTTTGTTTTCGAAAATGGTTTAAATTTGCCATCTCTAGTGGACTTAAAAATGCGAATTTGTCACCAAACAAGGTGGGCTTAAAACATGATTTGCCACAACAAAGTGGGCTTAAAACAAACAGTTGATGATTTGGGGTCACTACAGCTCAGGACTCTCAAATTTGTCACGGTTCTAAGTTTGAACCAAAGAGTCCAAATCCGGCAAATCGTTTTGAGAAAACAGATTTTAAAAGAAGTGCCAAACATGGACTGCTTTGCCAGATACAGAGTCGCCACCTAAATATTTTATTTTGGGAAATTTAGGAAACCCTGACTAATTGCCTAAGGCCACGTGTCCGTCATCACCAAAGTTGCCTCGGCTCGGGAACTTGGGTACGATTGGGGAAGGTCACTTCGTGAGCACCCCCGCTCGCCCGATCAAAGATCGGCCTCTACTAACCATGATATCTATTTTTGAAAATTATGTGTGTTCTTTATTCCGGTTCATAGCACTAGGTTACTATGTGATGTCGCACAAGCATACAGATAGACTGAGGTCGCAATTGAATTGGAGCATAAGACTATTCGTGTTTGTTTTTGCAAAGTCGTTTGCTACTCGCACAGTAGGCTTAAAAACAGATTTTTGCCACCTCAGGTGTGGCTTAGGAAAAGATGGTTTGCCACTATCTAGTGGGTTTAAAACAAACGTTGATGATTTATTCCAATCCAAGTAACCCAACCTATCACCCCAGGCATTCAGGCAGATTAGATCAAATAAGCATTAGCCTCATGGTAAGCATGCTAATTATGGCAGTCACTCACACGCATTGCAAGATGCTAAAGCATAAAACTCACCGAGTACTCAACCAAAAACAAAACTCATTAGAAATCATGCATGAATCCTAAGTATACAGGAAATGCCTAATGCAACACATGCAAAAATGCAAACTATAGCAGGCTGGCTATTCTAAACAATGGCAAATAAAAATTAAGTGTTGTTGTTTATTATCTTAAATAATTTTGTTGTGATTGATACTTTTATTTGAATGGTTGTTTTCTTTTTTTTGTTAAATAATAATCATGTTTATTATTATGTTAGTATCCTCAGGAACTGCATGATCTATTCTTTTTATTAGGGGTGTCTAAATGATATGGATATGCCTAATTATGTGACATCTACGATTTCTTGCTCTCGAGAAAATTTCGCATACTAGAGTAGGAATAGGACTCTCGTGTCTTTAATTGGAATTTTCTAAGATGTTGCACATGCTATTGAGTGATTTACTATGACAAACTTGAATAACATGCTATAGTTTAATAAAATAAAATAATCTCTGATCTGACCTGTTTGTCGATAAAAAAAACAAACAAAATTAGTGGAAGTTTTATTTCAATGAATATGATGTATTTTTTTTTTAAATATTATTGAATATTGACAATGCATGCAAATAGTTTTTTATTTTATGTATGATGGCGTCCTATGAGCCTAGTGCAATGCCAATGATCAGATGATGTTATGAATGCATTAACATGTGCATGAGTTCTCATAAGGAAATGTCTAATTTATTAATCTGAGGATTGAATTTATTATTATGTGATATTGTAAAACAATTATAAATTATTATTTAAAATTTTCTTGTTTGTTATTGGATCTAATAATTCTATATTATTTTATACCATCGCTAATAAGCGGTGTATAATGTTGATTCTATTTTTATATTTAATGAATCAAATGGTTTTGGTTTATATTATTAATTTAAATAATATAGACGGTTCGTGGGAAACGTATCGTGGTTGCGGTTCTGTTTGTATGCTTTTATTTGTACGATGGAGGTAATTTTAAGTTTAAAGGTAATATTATATAGAAGACTGTGACATTTTCACACTAAAATAATATTGCTATATATAATGGATATGGACACTGTCACCATTATGTTGTATAGACAACACTTATTATTGAAAAAATATATGTTTGCATTATAATTATTTATGTATACTATAATAAATCCAACCATCTTATTATCTTGCGTGATCGTATAGTTATATTAATATTATATATACTTGAGTGGGCACGAGATTCGTTGTATTACAAAATATATGTGAAGTAATTAAATGTTTGTGTGTAAGTGCATGAGAATATATGTATTTTATATTAATACATATCATAAAAATCTTGATGTTTTTAGCTTTTCGATATTTTGTAGAACTCTTTTATATATGCTTATGTTTTTATGCCCTTCTTACTTACTTCGGTTTTGCTTATATTTTCTCTATACTCTTCACTTTCCTCCGGTTTGTTTGTTGTTATTTGATGGAGAGATCTTACTTTCATCCGTCGATAGAGGTTTTTGAGTGGTGAATTTTGTAATATATAGTTTTTTTTTTATATTGTTATGTTGTTGTTTATGATATTTTTGTGTTGATTGTTGTGAGTGTTGTGAATGTAATGTCTATCCTAATTATCCCCACGTACTTTCTCCCTTTAGTCTTAATATCCGCTTTTAACGATGGTTAGTATTTATATGTTTCCATATTTCAATTAGCATTCCTTTATGCTATGGCATGTTTGGCATTATTCTCTGTTCTTGCATGCACTAGGCTCGTGCTGCATATGTTATACTAACTTGCATTTTTTTATAATAATACTTTGTAATTAAATCGTGTTCAACATTGCTGAATGGTTATCTTCAAGTTTTGTCATTCTCGATATTGTCCTATCTTAGAGAATATAGCCGATGACACCTATTTTTCTTTTAGTTTGTCCATTTCGCAATAGTTGTTTAATTGTCATTAGTGCATTTTCATTACATAGCTATGGATTGCTATCAATGCATTGATAACTAACTAGTTATTAGTTTTGGCTTTATAGATGGATGAGTGACCGATGTTTAAGTATCTTATCTGCCATTTAGCATCCTGCCATGATGTGTTATTGATTGTCCATGTAAAGCTTTAGTTTTACTTCCATTGTAGGCTATTTGCTTATACTGATATTTAACT